GGTGGGCAGAAATACACATGTGCTAGGGCTGGCCGAGTGGCTCAGTTGGTTAAGAGCTCGCTCAAGAGTTTGAGCTCTGAGCAACAGCGGTTCGAGTCCAGCCCGAGCTGAGCAGCCGCTGAGCTGCCAACAGGTAGCAGGATGGCTCAGCTAAAAAAAAAAAGAAAAAAAGAAATACACATGTGCTATACATTCTTTTGTACAAATCAGTATATAAAAATAGACGCAGTGTGGGGCCGGCTGAGTGGCTCAGTTGGTTAAGAGCTCGCTCAAGAGTTTGAGCTCTGAGCAACAGCGGTTCGAGTCCAGCCCGAGCTGAGCAGCCGCTGAGCTGCCAACAGGTAGCAGGATGGCTCAGCTAAAAAAAAAAAAAAAAAAAAAATAGACGCAGTGAGAGTGTCCCATTCCTGGGGAGTGAACTGTTCACTCTCCTGGGGGGGGTCCCTCATGGAGTGCGCAGGACAAGTGAGGGACATGGCAGCCAGGGGTGGCTGACACCCTGTGGAGGATGCCAGGGGAGTGGGGCCCAGCTTCAGCCTTGGAGCATAGCGCTCCTGGAGGACCTGGTGTCGACCCAGGGCCTGCTGGCCTCTCTCAGACAGCTGGCGGGACCTGTCCTGGGGCTCAGCCCAGGTTTGTCTCCACTCCTAGTCCTCTTCACAGGAGGCCTCATCTGGCCTAGGAGGCAAGTCCCACAGTGGTTCTTAGCTCTGCGCTTGTCCACACCGTGGCCCAGGGCCTGGCTGGTTGGCTCCCTGGGGTTTCTGCTTCTGGCTTGAGTTCTGCTCTGACGCATGTCTCTCAGTCACCAGGCCCCTCTGCCCGTGTCCCCCCATCACCACCTGTCCCCCTACCCATCCCTGCTTCCTCAGCTCTAACTGCAGCCTCCTCTGTTCCTTACCCTCTTCCTCCAACTTTCCTCAGCTTTTTTCTGCCCATCGATCAGAATCGTCCGTGTATCCTTGTGGGTCAGGCCTTAACACTACTAATAATAGGGAAAACCTACAGTCTGACCACATGCCAGGCCCTGTTCTAAGCACGTGACAATTGCTCATTGAATCCTCTAAGCAGTCTTACGAGTTTATATTATTTTCCTCATGTCATAGATGATGAAACTGAGGTTAAGTAACTCGCCTAAGATCACACCAACTTGGAGCTGTGTAAGGAGTGGGGGGTCTGTCTGCTGCCCGAAGGGGCCGTGCCCTGTGACAGCCCTGCATCCTACCCAGTCTACCGTCACGTGTGGACTGAGACGTGGGCCTCATTTGACAGATGGGGAAACTGAAGTGCACAGTGTTTGGGCGTCTTGCTGGAGAGGGCGCCCGTGGGAAAGGGCAGAGCAGAGCTGGGACTCGAGCCGGGACTTTTCGTCTTTGGGCTGGTGTTTTTCCTCTGGCAGCTCTTCTTCCAGGCTTTGAACACTTCCTGCCTGGCACTCAACAGACCTGGCCTCCCAACTTCTCTTCACGGCCTGTGCTGCTTAGGAACTCTCAGTGATGACCACCTGGTCCTTGGGAAGCAGGGGGTGGGGGTGGGAGGGACCCCTTTCTCTCAGCCCCGCCCTTGGGGCCTGCCATGGCCTGATGGGAAAAGAGGCGGGGCCTTTTCCCCTCACCAGGCTCCTCTTCCCAGAGTTGAAGGTGGTAGGAGGGGGCGGAATCCTGCTAGACCCTAGGTGTCGGGTGGGGTAGCAGGGTGCCCGTGGACCACAGGAGAGAGAGCCAGTGATCAGGCTGGGACTCTGGCCTCGTGCACCTCCACTGTCCTGGGAGGGGGTGGGTGCAGTGCTTCCCCTCGGGGCTCACCTTCTGTTGGGGAGACTCAAAGGTGTGGCCCCAGCTCCAGCCCGACCTCACCCCTCCCCCAGCCTCCCTGCCTTCACTAAAATCCATCTTGGTTTCTCCTAGGGATTAGTTCCAAGCCTCAATGCTGACATTACCGGGCCCAGGGATTCCCCACACCAGCCCAAGCTGAAAATGGGGGACTCGAGTTCCAGTCTTCATTCTGTCACTGATCAACTGGGTGACCTTGAACAAGATTTCCCCCTCCCTGTTCCATCCTGATGTCACATCTGAAACTTCTGTTTCCTAAGCTCAGGATTCCCGAGCAGCCCCATGGAATGCCCCACTGGCTCAGAGCTGCAATGAGGGCTCACAAAATAATCAGAAAATTGGTGGATGGTTCTTTCTCTTTTTAAAAATCATCTAGGTTTTAATTCCTCTACGTAATACGAGTGGCAGCATCTGCCAATTGCTATCACTTTTCAAGGAGGAAACTGAGGTCCAGGGCAGGCGAGTGACTCACCTGAGGTCACCAAAAGGGTTAGCTACACACTGCCGTCCACAGCCCAGTGTTCCTAGCTTCCTTTCCAGCCGTTCTCACCCCTCACCACATCGTTTCCATTTCCTGCTGGCCTCAGTCCAAGCCTCAGCCCACCATCCAGGAGTCACTTGTGGAAACTGAGGCCCAAGTAGGTAGGGATGGGCCCAGGCCAATCCTCCAAGGATATGGACAGAGGCTGTCACTGCCCTCCTTGGCCCTTTGGCTTCTTGCCAAGGATCTGCTAAGATCATCAGCTCAGGGCCATGCCCAGGTAGCCCCTTTATATCCTTCAGCGCTCAGCTGGGGCTTTGGCCGGAGTGGGAGAAGGCTGACAGTGAGACCTCAGGGCTCAGGTGGCCCCAGACCTGCTGCTCCATCCAGGCAGCTTACAGATCACCTGCCACGAGCAAAACCTAGATGAGGCGCTTGTGGCCGAAGGCATATTTGTTGCATAGCTTATCATGAATCTGCTACTGTTAAGCTGCTGGGATACATCAGTGCACAAAACAGGAAAAAATCCCCGCCTTTGTGGAACCCACATCCTAGTGCATGGAGACAGACACAAATAAATGAGAAAATGTAAAATAGTTAAAATTAGTAGAGATCTAAAATGCTATGCAGTATAGCAATGCAGGGAAACAGGTAGAGAGGGCAGGGTTGCCTTTGTTAGCCAGATGGTCAGCGAAGACCCCTATTAGAGAAGGTGACATTGTAGCAGAGATCTTAAGGAGAGAGTGAGCTTTGCAGATTTCTGGGAGAAGGAAGAACAAGTACAAAGGTCCTGAGGCACGAGCATGCCTGGCATGTTCTAGGAACGAGGAGGACAGTATGGCTGGAGTGAGGACAGAGTATGAGTGAGGATAGAGTGAGCAAGATACACAAGTGCGGAACTGTCCATCGGAGACAAGATTTATGGCAGGAAAGGATGAGCCATTTGGGGAGGACAGAGAAGGTTGAGGAGCGGGAACACCAGAGAAGGCAATGAGAGCATCACAGGTAGAGAGACCAGCTTGTGCAAAGGCAAGGAGGTATGAAAAGGCTCGTCCTGTTTAGGCACGAGGAGCAGTGGCTGGAGCAGGATCAGGGCAGGAGTGAGAGGGAGGCGGGAGGAGTCAGCTGCCGCCAGACTGGGAAGGGCAGAGAAGCAGCAAGGGGCAAGAGGTCTCAGGGACCCCTAAAAGAAGTTTGGGAGGGCCAAGAGGCTGTGGCCAGAGAGCAGGAGATGGGGTCCTGGGTTGGAAAGGTACAGCAGTTCTGGGTGATGGCAAAAGTCAGGAGTGGCTGTGGTCGAGGGGTGAGTAGGGTGGTCATGCTTCTAGGATGCTGACAGGATTTGGGGATGTGAGGAAGACCAGGTAGGGTGTCTGTCTGTTGTCACCATCAGCCCCCCCAGTGGGGAGCTCCAGGTTCATGGGATGGAGGGGAGTGAGCTGTCACCACTGGGGGGCACTGAAAGGAAACCAGTCTGGGCTAGGAGGTGCCAGCTGCTCTTTTTCCTCCTCCGCCGGCAGGCCTCTGGGATTGCTCCCTGGCTGGTGCTGGTACTTTCCCTAGCAACTGGTCCCAAGCTGCCTTGGTGGGCAGTGCCCAAGCAGGGTGTAGGGAGGGGAAGCCCCTTTGGTTTCTGTCTCAAAGCAGGGACCCAGCAGGGAAACCCCAGAGGTCCCAAAAGGAAAGTGGCAGCAGTGGGCCTCAGGGAAGACCAAGAAACCCCCATCTTCTCCCTGAAGATGGGAAATCCAGGGTGGGGCTTAGGGCGGGCTGTGCTGGAAGGGAGATCTGTGGTTGATGCAACCCAGCCTGAACAGTTCTCTACAGAGCAGAAACGCCAGGGTTATTCTGGGATCTGGCTCAGCCCTACACCTGACCTCATACAACTCCAACCTGGCCATGGTCTGAGCCCTGACCCTCAACTCTTATCCCAGCCCAATCTTCAGCCCTGACTTGGGTCACAGGCTCAATCAGAACCTTGGCCGTAGACCGAGCCCTGTGCCCCACCTGGACTGAGCTCTAAGCCCAACCCCGATTGGTCCCAGGCAGAGTCTCCAGCTCATCGATAGCCCTGACACCAAATGTGGAGCCAGAATGTTGGCCTCAGACGAAGCTCTGAGTCCAATCCTGGAGCATGGCCTGATCCTGGTTATAGAGCGAGCTCTCATCCAAGATCTGACTCAAGACTGAGCTCTTGGTCCTGAATGAAACTTATCCAGCCCTGACCCTGGCTATGGACTGAGCCCTGATGCTGCCAAATCTGAGGCCCCCCTGCCCCACACAAAGCCCCATCCCAGGCACCCAGTGAACCCTGGCTTCCCTGACATTCCCTTCCTCAGCCATCTGGTAAACCAGAAGAGAGTAAAACCCCCCAAGTCCCCTCTGATGGGCAGTCCCCTTACCTGGCCATCCATCTTTTGAAGGACAGTAGGCAGGTCCTGGAACTAGGGTGATAATGACAGAGCAGAGAAACAGGAGGGGGTTCAAGTCTCTGGGACCTACCAGCAAATGGGGCAGAGTGGGGAAGTGAGGGGCAGGCTGGCCCTGGGAGCTCAGTGGGGGTCAGGCGCTTGAATTGACCAAAACCCCAGCTTCCCGCCACCCCCCACGGAACCTCCCACCCCCTCTGGGAAGGGAAATTACATTTCCCCATTTTAGCAAGGGGTGGTGAAGAGGGAAGACTGAGTTAATGCAAAGCTGAAAGTACAAGCAGGACGGAAAGTGAAACCGGGCACAGCCCCCAGTATAAGACTCCCCTGACCTGGGAGATGGCTGGCCATAGAGGCTGGGCCCTGCCATGGGCCAGAAGGCAGGCGACCTTGGCTGGCGTGAGTCTGAGGCCAGGGCTCGGGGCAGAGGGGCGGGAGGCTTGGCTGAGGCTGGGCAGAGGATGGGAGAGCTTGACTTGGTGTGGATGGGGCCAGAAGGCTGAGGGGCAACTGCTTGGCAGACTAAGGATACAGGATACAGCCGATTGGAGGATGGGAGTGAGGCCAGCATGAATGGGGAAGAGGGGTTGGACAAGAGGGGTGGTGGTTTGGCCAGGGCTTGGCAGAGGATGGGAAGCTTTGACTGGATGAATGAGAAGAGTTGGGCAGGCGGTTGACCAGGACCAGGACCTGGCAGATAAATGAAGAGTTTGGTTGGAGTGACAAGCTTGGCTGAGAACTAGGGCTGGCGAGAGGAAGACTAGCAGGAGGAGTTGGCATGAGCAGAGGGCTGGGGCCAAGGAGCCAGCAGCCTCACTGGTCAAGGGTCTGCAGTTTGAAGCTTGGAAGGAGGTCCGGTCTGCAGCTGGCAACTGAAGGTCTCTGGCTGGAACCAGAGCTCTGGGTAAAGGAGCAGATGGTAGGGTCAGGGTAGGGACCAAGGACTAAAGGATGGGGCCCAGGACAAGATTGGACTGTAGAAGGTACAGAGAAGCCAAGGGAAGGGTCGACTCCAGGGGCTCCAGAGCTCAGGCAAAACGTGGAGGGTCAGTAGGAAATGACACAGCTCAATTTTGGGTGGGCAATATCCACCACAGCCTGAGGCTCCCACTCTCCCTCAGCTGGGAAAAACCCCACTCTGCCCGAAGTCTTCAGGATGTCAGAGTGGCCCCCAAGCCAGGGAGCCTGGATCCTAGAGCTCACTGCCCACTCCCTCTGGAAGTCCACAGGGGAAATGGACATAACCAGAAACTTCCCTTGGCCTTTATTGAGAAGGCATTTCGAGGAGCAGAACCCAGGGATTAGAGGTGGAGAACAGACAGGAAAGAGGCCTGGAGAGGTGGGTAAGCAGGACTTAGACACAGGGGCCCGTTTTGGTTTGTGTTTCAAGGAGGATTGTGTAACTCCCGTGATTGCTCGATTTCCTCTCCCTGAGAGAGAAACCACCGAACATGGTCCTCTTCCCAGCGCTCCCTCCCCATGGCCTCCCTTCCTTCTGTTCAAGAAACTGTCAGAAACCAGATGGTCTGACTCCCCCATTTTACAGATGGGAGCCTGAGGCACAGAAAAAAGAGGTGACTTGCACCAGGGAGGAGCCCAAATGAGAAACAGGTTCTGCCTCCCACTCCGGGCCCTTCTCCCCCTCCTGGCACCCCCTGTTCTTCCTGCACCGCAGAGTGACCCAACTGCCTTGGGAAAGGCTGGACTAATCTGTCCTTCTGACTTTCTGAAATAGAGCCCCCAGTATTGCCAGCCACCCCTGGGGTTCCAGTTCAGGCCATCAGAGCTTCCTGGCCAAGTCCCAGGAATCCTTAGCAGAACAGAGCATGCCTGCCCCAGAGCAGGTGGCTGCCTCCTCTGAGCTTCCTGGGGATGCACACAGGCTCTGCACTTGGGCAGATCTGGAATCCAGTCCTGCTGCACTCATCTTCCGTGACCTTGGCAAGTCAACCTCCCGGAGCCTTACTTTCCTCATCTGCAAAATGGGAAGGATACTAGCACCCAGGCCGCCACATAGAGTTGTGCCGTTTATCCTCTGAAAAAAGATGCTTGGCCAAGGGAGTTGGGGGGGGGGGTTGAAATCCAGCCTGAGGGCTGCTGGCAAAGGTGGACCCTTGGTGCAAGCTGTGGGAAAGGGCACTTTCTTTTCATCATACAGAGAGAGAGGCCATATGGTGTCTGCCATAGTTTCCACGTCGTTAGTGGTTTTGAGGGGTTTGTGAGATGCACAGTGCTTGTCTGTAGCACAGGATTGGAAAAGGCCCGTTCCCTTCCTTCCTTCTTTCTCCTGAGTTCTCAAGCTCTCCCTTCATCTCGCCCACCCTCTCCCCGTCTCTTCAGGGCTCAGCCTTTTGCTGCTCTCTTTGCTCCTGGTTCGAGCTGGTGTTTGGGGATTCCCAAGGCCGCCAGGAAGGCACCCTCTGAGCCTGCAGGAGCTGCAGAGGGAGTTCAAGGTCAGCCTCCATCTCTCCAGGAAACTGCTCTCGGAGGTGCGGGCCCAGGCCCACCGCTTTGTGAGTTTCCCGAATGCAACCGGTGGTGCTGGGGATGGGAGGATCCCCCATCTACTCTGGCCCCCACTGACAGACCTTGCCCCACAGGCCGAGTCTCAGCTGCCAGGAGTAAACCTGGACCTCCTGCCCCTGGGACAGCAGCTCCCCAACGTTTCCCTGACCTTCCAGGCCTGGTGCAGTCTCTCTGTGAGTGGGGGGCTGCAGGTGTGTGTGTGGGGGACGGGATGGGGGGAGGTGGGGAGCAGGGTAGCTGGCACTAAGGCTTGGCTGGGATGGAGATAAGGTCAGGAACTGAATTGTGAATTGAAGGTGGATTTGGGGGTAAATTGAGGGATAGAATCTGGATGAGGTTGAGTATGTTATTGGATATAAAGATGAAGCTGAATAAAGAAATGGCATTAGGAAGAGGGTAAGAGTGAAGCTGGGCATGGAAAGGGGTGGGGATGGGAATAGAATGGGATCAGGGACTGAGATTAGTATGGAAGAGGCACGGAGCTGGTGTTAGGGATGAGACTGGGGATAGGGGAGGAATGGAAAGAGAGTTGGGGATGAAAGTGAAAATGACGTGGAGGATGGAAAAGGGATGGAGATTGCTGGTGAGGATTGGCATAGAATGGGGTTGGGATGGAGTTGGAGATGGGAAGGAGAGACGATGGTGAGGCTGGACCTATAGACGAGGGATGGAATTGGGATTAGGAATGGGAATAATGATGGGAAAGAGGTTGGAGACAGGCTGAAAGTAAGTGAGGAGATGGAGCTAGGATGGGATGGCGGAGAAGGGAAAAGAATGGGGTTGTGGGTAGATAGTGATAGGACAATGGACTGAAAATGAGGTTGGGAAAGGCCATAAGTTAGTGATCAAAAACAGTGGGGAAGGGAATGGTGATGAGCAAAGCAAGGGAGTGGGAAGGAGATGGAGTTGAGAACGAGAATAGATATTTGGATGGAATGGGGATTGGCGTTTGGGATGGAAATGGAGCCTGAGAGACGTGGGACTGGATTTTAAGGGGCCTCCTTAGCCTGTGGGCCTGTCTTCACCCCTCCCCTCTGCTTCCACAGGACGCAGAGCGCCTCTGCTTCCTCTCCACCACACTTCGTCCCTTCCAAGCCCTGCTGGGAGGGCTGGGGAGCCAGAGGAGCTGGGCCAGCTCAGAGAGGATGCAGCTGTGGGCCATGAGGGTGGACCTCCGCGATTTGCAGCGGCACCTCCGCTTCCAGGTAGAGTGGCCACCCCACCCTCCCTGATCCCCAGAGACAAAAACTGAGGCTCACTGGCTCCCGTTTTAAACACCCCCCTGCCTACAGGTGGGGTAAGTCTAGAGGGAGGTGCTCCAGATCCTCTGAGTGTGTGCGTGCATGCGTGTGTGAGTATGTATGTGAGAGTGTAAGTACATATGTGTGTAAGTATGTGAGTGTGTGTATAAGTAGGTATGTGTGTATGTGTGTGTATGCATGTGTAAGCATGTAGGTGAGAGTGTGCGTATGTATGTGTGTATGTGCGTGTAAATATGTATGTTAGTGTATGAGTGTGTAAGTATGTATGTGAGTGTATGTGTAAGTATGTATGTGAGAGCGAGAGAGAGAGAGTGTGTGTGTGTGTGTGTGTGTGTGTGTGTGTGTAGCTGCACCAGGCCCTGGCTCCGCCTCCTCAATCTCTGCCTTCTTTTGGGGTCTTGCCCTTAAATGACAGAACAGCTCTGACACACCCAGCACAGCATCCGACATCCGCAGGACCTATGATAAAGTTGGTTTCCTTCTCCCTCTCATCCTCTGACATCACCAGGTCCTCCTGAACATTTCAGAGGGAAATAGGAATTTTACCATTACTAAAAGGAGAATCGAAAATGCAAGCAACATAAAAAACTAGTTATATCGCCTTTCTGCCCATGTCTGATCCTAAGACAACTCTTTAGAGAGGAACTTCCGGAACCCCAAGTGCCTGGTGCATTCCTGGATGAGTGAGCCAGCTCCCTCTGTGAGCATCGCTTCGCTCTGTGACCCCATTTCCTTGAATCCCCAAATCAGGCAGGACACATGAGTTGATGACGCAATGGAAGGTCTGATGCTGGGGTTGTCCAGGGAAATCATGACCTTGTGGTGTCTGGGGTCATCCCCTAGTGACAATAAAGGATCAAGGGCTCGCTCAGGCTCTCAGCCTGGCCACTTTTGGACCATGGGCCTCTCCTCACAGGTGCTGGCTGCAGGACTCCACCTCCCCGAGGAAGAGGAGGGTGAGGAGGGGAAGGGGCTGCCCCCAGGGGCTCTGGGCGGCCCCTCCCAGATGTCAGCCCAGGTACCCTGGCCCCGGCTCCTGTTCACCTATCAGATGCTGCACTCCCTGGAACTCGTCTTGTCTCGGGCCGTGAGGGACTTGCTGCTGCTCTCCCAGGCTGGGAACCCAGCCCAGGTCTTGGGGTGTGCTACACTGGCTGGCTCCCGGCCCCAAGGGGGTGGTTTCTAGCCTCTCTTCATCTGCGAGGCTTTTAAGACTGGAGCCTGAACCAACAGGAGAGCCTCCAGCTTAAACAACGCGGGACTCCCCCAACCTCCCTTCCCAGACCCTACCCAATAACTTAAGGCCCCTCCAGTTTCAGCTGGATATTTATTTCTTGGATATTTATTTATTGTTTAGGGAAATGATGGTTTATTTATTGTTTCAGGGCCTGCTGGTTGTCCTTGGGTGAGGCCGCCATGCTGGGTGCCTAATAAAGCACTCTCCCCCTCTCTGTGCCTCAGCTTCTTTTCAGAGAAGGGGTGTCTGAAATGGACTCTGCAGCCTCTGGTCACCCCGGACCCCTCTGTTCCTCCATTGTTGGGGTTCCTGGCCCACCATCCCCAATGTTGGCTTGCTCAGTTGTTGTTGGCCATAGTAACCGGCAGAGTTCCGAGGCTGAGCTCCTATTTTGGAAGTTCAAGGTGGCGGGTCTGCTTCCTGTCAATCTGCGATTGCAAATGGAGCTCCACAGGCCCTCCTGCCCCCTTTTCTCAGGGCTGACTCCCACCCCAGAGGTTTGTGTTACCCCTACACAGCCTTCTGAGGGTTTGGGGAGGGATTTGGGGGGCAGGGTGGGGAGCAGGGGTAGTCAGAGAAAGAAGGCTGGGGGGCGGGGACTGGCTCTGTCCCCTCTCAGTCCTCTGGAGACAGGTTGGGAAGGTGGTCAGGACAGGCCATGAGGGGTGGTCCCAGTGGGGCAGGTGGTCCATGAGCCGCACCTCAGACTCCTTAAGCTCATGGTTCTTGAAGGTGTCTAGTTCTGTCTGCCCGTGAATGAAACACTAAGAAACTAAGGCCCACAGGGTGGAAAGGGTGCCTCCAAAATTGCTGAGGGGGTCAGGGCGAGCCAGGTTCCACCGAGCACTCTGAGCCTCACGCGGGGCCTGGCTTCCAGGTCTCGGCGCCATCACTGGGGCTTTGGCCGGCCCAGCCTGGCTTGCAGCTCCTGCATCATGCCGGGGTGTGCGAGGCCAAACCTGGGGGTGGAAGACAGGCCATGGGAGCTGGTCTTCAGGTGTCCACAGCCTCCTGCTCATCCCAGCTCAGTCACCTCGTCCTGTGCTTACCCATAGCCTGGGGGTCTTTTCCTGGCTGGCACTGGGGTGCCGTCAGGCCTGGGGGGGCTTGGCTCTGGAGGGTCCTCTGACTGGAGAAGTGTCTGCCTGAGGGCTGACAGCCCTTCCTCTGGTGGGGGGCTGGGAGGCTCGGCCTGCTGCTCGGGGGTGGGGGTCCGTCGGAAAGAGGGCCGGGAGCGACGCTGTGAGGAGCTGCGAGACAGGAGGATACGGCTCCGAGGGACCGAGAGGTCCAGGCGAGACCCAGGAATCAGGGCCTGCAGGGAAGGGGGCACAGAAAATTACGGGTTGGCATGGAGATTCTGCTCTGGTTGGGCCTGGGCCCTCCCTGGAGCCCTCACCTCATTCCAGATGCCGTGAGCATCCTCATCAGCACTTCCTGCAGCCTCTCCATGCAGCTCAGGCTCAGCCTCTGCAGGGTCCTGGTTTGTGGACTGGTCCTCCTGGCTTTGGGCGTCCTCCAGGCCTTCTGGATCAATCTCGTTGGCCTCCTCCCTCTTGCGTCCAGTCAGCTCGACATTCTCCGCATCACAGGGCATGTGTGCCTCTTCCTCAGGGTCATGGTCCCCACGCTGCCCCTCGCTGCCTTGCCCCTGTCCCCTCGTCTGCCATACCTCAGCCTCTTTTGCCACCAGCGTCTGCGCTCCTGGGAGCCCTTCAGCCTCCACTATGGCCATGGTCCCCTCTGCCCTCGCCGCCTGGGAGCCTGAGGTAAAGCCATCTATTCCCCAGCTTCCTTCTGCCACTGCGGATTCCCCAGCCTCTGTCCACTCTCCACCCGGCTCACGCTCCCTGGCCTCAAAAGCCTCTGCTTGGCCATCTCTGCCAGTAACCTCCTCCTCTGCTGAACTCTCCAGGCCAAACTCCTTCCCACCTCTGTTCTCTCCCTCTGCAGCCTCTACCAGCTCCTTACCTCTACCAGTTTCTTCTCTCCCTTCTAAGTCACAGCCTCTCCCAAATGCCCCGTCCCAAGCTTCCCCAGCCCCTCTTTTGGGCTCTTCCCCAGTCCCAGCAGCCCTTCCATCGGAAGCTGCCTTATCTTCCACAATCTCGGCAGCCAAAGAACTGGCCCATGTGTCCTCCCTGTCCTGGAGGCTCAGAGCCGCCCCCTCCAGCCTCCAGCCTCCCCCGGATGTGCTGTCTGCCTCCCAGGGCCCTGCAGCCTCCACCTCCTCATCCTGAGTTTTTCTGGCATCTGGCTCTTCCAGTGACTGGCCTGCCCCTGCCTCTGCCCTGTGCTTTCCCCCCAGCTCCGGGCTCTCTGCTCCACCACCTCCTTCCTTTGCTTTCTCCCCTTCTCTTTCTACCTCCAGGACCTCCGGGAGTGCAGACCCTGGGCCTCCTGCAGCCGCTTCCTCCCTTTCTTCAGTACCTACTTCTTCCTCCTGGGTATCCCTTCTCTCTACATCCCTCCTCCTCCAGCTTTCCCAGGCTTCTGCCTCAGAGCTCTCAAGCTTTCCATGCTCCATGTTCCCGGGATATTCCTCCAGGCTCCTTTCTGTGCCCTCTTTGCTCAGGGGTGGACTGTCCCAGGGCTCTTCCTTACTCCTCTGTCCCTCCTCAGGTTGCTCTGTTGGGATCTGGGGGCCACCCCTCAGCTCAAGTTCCTGGGCTTCAGTGACCCTGTGCTCCAGGCCACCACGCTCTACCCCCAATGCTTCTCGACCTATCTGAGCTTCCTCCTCACTCCTCTTCTCCCTGAACTCCTTCTCAGGTCTGTCCTCTGGGGTGGCTTCCAAGACAGCCTCACCCTCAGCCTCGTTTGCCACTTTGTCTGGGGGCAGCTCACCCTCTACAGCCGGGCAACTCTGTTTTTCCTCCTTGGCCTCCTGTGGCTGCAACACCTCCTCCAAGCTGGCTTGGGCAGCCCTGATCTCTGTGTCTGGTCTTTCCTTGGCCTCTTTCCCACCTTGGTCTGCCTGACTCTCAAGGCCCACCCCTACCTCCCCTTCTGACCGCTGGCCTCCTGCATCCTCCCTCCCTGCTGTCTGGTCCTTAGCTGCTTCTTCCACTCCCTCAGTTTCCAGGGCCTGGGTTTGTTTCAGGAACAGGCTCACTTCAGCCTCTCTCTTTTCATCTACCTCATTCTCCTGGTCTCCCTTGGAGGCCTTCTCTAGGGCCCAGACTCTCCCAGTACCCTCTGGGATCCTATCTCCTGGGACTGCCCCACATTCTAGCTCCCCGACTCCTGGGAGGTCAGCCTTCTCCCTGCCTGAGGTTGTCTCAGCCTCCTCTTCATTTGACATTGTCCCAGCCTCTTCCCCACCTGAGGTTGTCCCAGCCTCCTCCCTGCCTGACATTGTCCAAGCCTCTTCATCTGAGGTTGTTCTGGCCTCCTCCCTGTATGAGGTTGTCTCAGCCTCCTCCCTGCCTGACATTGTCCAAGCCGCCTCTTCATCTGAGGTTGTTCTGGCCTCCTCCCTGCATGAGGTTGTCCCAGCCTCCTCCCTGCCTGACGTTGTCCAGGCCTCCTCCTCGACTGAGATTGTCCAAGCCTCCTCTTCATCTGAGGTTGTTCTGGCCTCCTCTCTGCCCAAGGTTGCCCCACCCTCAGATTCTTCCCCTGGCTCCTGTGTCCCCTGTGCCGTGGTGCTTTGGCCATCTCTCACCACGACCACCACCTCTTCTTCCCTCCCAGGCTCTTTAACCCCAGGCTCCTGGGTCTCCTCTGCCACTGCCTCCTTGGTTGCTGTTTCTAATTCCCTGCCAATCCCCGCCACCTTCTGCCAGTCGGCATGGGCCTTCCTCTCAGGCTCCTTGTGCCAGGTCCACTCTGACTCCACCCCTCCAGCCCCCACTGGCTCTCTTGCCCTGACCTCTTCCTCCTCCTCCTCCTCTTGTTCCCAGGTTCTCAGTGTCTCCTTTCTGTTCACTTCCTGCTCATTATGCTCCTGACTCTCCTGGGCTTGGCTGTTCCTAGTTCCACCAGTCTCGGACCCCGCCCGTGACTCCTTTCTGGCCTCCACAGGGGCACTTGGCTCCTGGCACCTGGAGGCCTTCGCTACCTCCCAGACCCCTGTGTCCTGCCTCTCTGCTTGAGACCCACGGGAGCTGCCTTCTCCCCAAGCCCAGGTCTGTTCTGTAGCTGAGCTTCCCTCCTGGCAGCTGCTAGCTTCCCCGGGCTCTCTCAGTTCTCCATTCCCCTTGCTTTGGCTGTCTCCAAGGCCCTCCAGGGCCTCCTGGGCTTCCTCCTCTACAGTCCTCCTCGGCCTTCCTGCAGCCACCTCCCTCAGTTCCTCAGCTGTGTGCGCCTCCCTCCTCTCTGCAGTGGGGACCTCATCTCCTATAAGGTAGGAGACAAAGGTGCTGAAGGAATCCTAGAAGAAAAGGTGTGTATGTGTGTAGGTACAAAGGCATTAAGGACCGGTCCAGCCCTCTCCCTGGGGGCCCTGGGCCAGTGGAACTCTGGATAGAAGAGGGGTGCTGGAGTCTGGGAGGAGAAGGAGAATAGGACCCACAGAAGAAATAGGAAAGGGCCTAGATTAGGGGTATGTGGATGTGAGAGAATTGAAATCCAGGAAAGATTGGGCTAGGAGGCGGCCTGATCCTAGGGAAGGAAACTCAAGTCTGAGGAGAGGCTCAAAGGGAGGAGGGAAGGTGAGGCCCCTGGCAGCAGGGTGAAAGTCTCTGGCATCTCTTTACTCCTCTCACCAATGCTCCCCTCAAGGCCTGATGCAGCCCAGGGAGATGTAGCCGGAGGAAATCCATCCTGTCTGTCTCTGTGTGTCCAGAAGCAATGACTGGTCCCCACCCACCACGACAAGCCGGTCTTCCCCGGGACCCAAAACACTTCCTCTTCCCCTGTCTCCCCCTGACGCATCCCCTACCCAGGCCCTACCCACCTTCTATAAAGCCCACAGCGGCTTCCAGCCCAGGTTGGGGAACGGATGTGCTCCACACAGGCGACCCAGGTGCACATTTGGAGCTAAAGGGTAAGGGAGGAAGCCAGAAAGGAAAAAATGGGAGCAGGAGACCTCAGTTTTGGTGATGGGGGAGGAGGCATTGTGGCAACTGCAGTTCAAGTGACTCAGGTCTCATATTCACACCTCAGCCATTTCCGCCTCCCCCCAAGCCACAGCCACTGTGAGAGGAAGCTGGGGTTTGTGGTTCCTGTTTTGCCTGGGGACAAGGAGTAGGAGTGAGGAGGGGGCTGGTAAGAGCTCTGGCTTCTCGTTTCAGGGTAGTTAATGCTTTCCCAAGGGGAAAAAGGGGCTGGCTTGGTGGCTTCCATGCCCATTCCCTCATCTGTAACCATTCTTGTGAAACAAGGCTTGGCTAAGCTTTGTATTGTGGTTCTTTGCACCTACCTGCCATTCTCCTGTGAGTTCCTTGAAGGCAGAGGCCATGTATGACACGTTGCTGAATTTCTAGAGCCCTGCATGGGTACTGAACCCCATTTTTTCATTGGTTGATTAACTTGGGGAGAAGACGAAAAGGAGGCACATTTCAAACAGCAGTCTGAGGGTCTGGTGATGAGAGAGAGCTGGTGGAGGTGGGGACCAGCTATTGGAAGCCCACAGGAGAGATTAGCAGGGGGAAGGACGTGATGAAGAAAATACAGAATGCTGCTTTACCACCTAGAGGAAGGTAAGAGAATCCACTCCTTATTTGGGACTGTGGGAAGTGATGTCAATTTACACCTCTTCCCCCAACCCCCTCCCTGAGCCCCACTTCCCAATTTCCAATTAGAGGAACTAGATGAGGTCACAGAATCTTGTGTCTTAGAATCATCTGGCCCACGCACCCTTGATGCAGGCAGGAATCCTGCAGCAGCCTGCTCTGCCAAGCACCTGTGTCTGATGCTCTATTTCTTATCGCTAAAACGGTCTCTTAAGGTCACCTTTACGTCTAACTTTGTGTGATCATCAGTAACTTTTCTTTTCTTTCTTTTTATTCCTCATCTGTAAAACCAGGGGTTGGACTACTTGTGTGAAATTTTTTGGTTCTAGGATAATTTGGGAAAGGGATCTCTTAACGCCTGGGATACTGCCAACTGATAATCCATGCAATCCTCTTAAGTGGGTATTATCTTTATTTTCAGTTTCTAAAGCGATCTAAGGACAACAGATAAACAGATAGTAATAAGTATGACCTAAGACTGGCGGCCTTAGTGCCGGGTCAGAATCTAGTCTCGTCTGGGGGGGGAAAAAAAAAGAGAGAGAGCGCGCGAGAGAAACCAGGCGGCCATATTTGTTTCTGGCAAGTGAGGGCCTCGGGAGGAGCTGAAGCCGCTCGCAGCCATGATTAGTGCTGGCACCACACGGGCACCGCCTTGGACGCCGCTAACCTGACGTCAGGCCTCTCGCCTATCCCACCCGCTCCAGTTTTAAGCCAGCCCTTCCCGGGGTTCTGTCGGCCTCTCTCGGTTACCACACCCCGAAGCTGGCAAGACCTAAAGCGGAGATAGAGAGAAGACCCGGAAGTGGTGAGGACCTCGCAGCACGTGATGGGGGAAGCCGCCGGCGCTGTCACGTGACCCGCCAACCTGTTGTTCCTTGGTGCGGAAAGCTCAGCTGCTCTTAAAGGTACAGGCCGCCGGGCCCCTGCTTTAGAGGGGGCGGGGGCAGCGTCCGACGGGTGGGGCGCGGTGGGCGTGCGAGGGCGCGAGATGGAGGCCTGGGTGAACGTGGTGGATCACGGGGCGTGCGTGCATTAGAGAAGCTGCAGCTGAGCCCTGCGGTCGGGCGTTGATCTTTGTGACAGGTCGCAGACCCTCCCCCGCCCCCTCGGAGCTCCCTCTGAACTCTCGTTGCCTTTGGACCACTCCGGGGACCTGAACTGGATGTCATGGGTGACAGTGCAGGCTCGCGGCGGCGCCTTTCGGATTCCGAGGGTGAGTCTCCCCCGGAGTGACTGCCTGTGCCCCGCGACCCACCTGACGTGCTTGGGAGCTGGCTCCACCCCAGGAGAACACCCGTGGGGCCATCACGCACCTGAGAGTCGGGTGGGGGTCATGCCGTCTATTTCCCGCTCTCCCAGGGGAGGAGACCGCCCCGGAACCTCGGCCCCCTTTGCCGGATCCAGGTCCGAGCGCCCATTGGAAGAACGCGATGGGATTCTGGTCAGTGGCCTGAAGAGTTAGTTCAACAGAAGTAAAAATGGGGCGGGAAGAGGGAAGCAACTGGAGCAAAGAGAAGAAAGGGTTGAGCTGCGAAAAGGGAGCTGAATCCACACATACCTGGGGTGCCAAAAAAATGTATACACGTTTTAAACGGTGATATCTATGCTCAAGCAGTGGTTTGCCATCATCAGACGTGTCTGGACACTGATGGGAACCACTCTGAGCACCTCTTGGAATTGCAGAAGTCAGACGTGACTTGGATTCATCTTTTGTGATCGATCTACACTGAGTATGACAATACAGTGTTTTCTTTTCCTTTCTTAAAATGTGTATCCATTTTTTGGGCACCCTCTGTGTTTACTGAACCAGTTGGTTTTCCCTGAGGCAACTTGTAAATTTCCCAAACTTCACTGGTTTACTTACACCTTCACGTTTTGGCCAGATCCTCTTACCACCTATAGGATGATTTACTTCCTGTTTTTGCTCCAACCAATTAAGTCTTTAGATTTGTAAATACAGGTTTTTGGGGTTTTTTTAATGAAAGAAAACTTTAACTCACCAGCCGATAGTTTTCTAATGTACATTTAAGTAAACGCAGCACTACGTTTTAAAAGCTCATCTACCATCTAAAATCATTTAACTACCGAGCCTTGGGAAATACCTCTAACACTACCCTAAACATGGGGGCCTTAGGTGGGAGATGGGGTTGGAAGCAGCTGCCCACGTAACTGGAAGAGTCACATAGCATCTCTGAGCCTCAGTTTCTCAGCAGTGAAATGGGAAGAGCAGTAGTACCACTTCCTAAGCTTGTAAAGCGGACACACCAAGTTTCTGACACTGGGTCCAGTTCCATTCCCATCACCGAGTGCCACCCTGAGAGATGAGAGTCGCAAACAAGATCCTTCGTGGATTGTAAAGGACTTTGGGTATTGTCTTCTTTGGATCCCTTGCAGTACTCTGTGAGGTAGTCAGGAGAGAAATTTATATCCCCGTTTTACACATGAGTAGACAGGCCACTCAACTAGGAAGTGGCAGACTTGGGACCTGAACCTTGTCCTTTGGGTTTCAAGCCCCCACAGCAAGCACATCAGAGACTGAAGGTCAGTGGATAAGAAATGCCCCAGGAACTGAATCGTGGGTGTCAGAGGAGAGAGTCATCAAGGATGACTTCCTCTGAGAAGTCTCAGAGATTAGATGTGAACCTAAGTCTGTGATCCCAAAGCCTGTCTTTCTAACCCTAACACTGAATGGAGATGGGGTGTAGTGATAGAGAAAAAAACAGAGCTGTTTGAAGGGTGCAGAAACGGGGGAGGTTTGGTGCTAAGACTGGATTGATGCCGGTAAGCCTGAAAAGAGGTTAAGATCTGTTCTTACATGTCAGTTGTATCTCAGTAAAACTAGGGCGGGGGGATCTGCCCTACTTACTCCAGGCTTCTGGGCCTTTGCAACAACTTCTCTTACGTGGTGATGCTCAGTGCTGCTCACGACATCCTTAGCCACCAGAGAGTCCCCGGGAACAAGAGCCACGTAAGTGACCCTCTCCGCCACCACCACTAGGTTTCATCCCTGTGGTAAGAGGAGGGACTCACCCTGGGGCAGACGCCTTCTTGAAAAACTCACAGAATGAATGGGGTGGTCAAGGGGATAAGGAGGTCAATGTTCCCAGTCTCCCGGATGCACAAATGCGGATGCCAGCTGGATGGGACCATGGCCTAAAAGGGAGGGTTTCTGAACCCCATTTGGGGCTGGATATTTCTTTGTGTGGTCTGCCCTGTGACTTGTTGGATGGTTAGTAACATCCTTGGCTTCTACCCACTAGATGCCAATAGCAGTCCCTGCCCTCCAGTTGTGACAACCCTGAGTGTCTCAGACATTGCCTGCTGTTCCCTGAGGGGTATAATCACCCCCGGCTGAGAACCCCTTGTCTGTGAGGAGCTGGAGGGTGCATGCCCAAGGGCAGCAGCGGCCACCTGGCAAGGCCAACAGGGAATTTGGTCCAAGCTCAGATTTTCTGGAAACCCAGAATTTTTAAATGAAAACTCCTAAATGTGTTGCCCCAATAAAGTCCACTTACAGGGCCATCTTTGGCCTGTGGGTCATTTGTTTGACATTTCTAAGGAAACCTCCCCCTCCCCATTGTGCACAGAGAGAAACTGAAGTCCAAGCAGCCAGTACTGACCCAAGGCCATCTGTCAAGTTAGAGCAATGCTGAGGTGGGGGCCATGCCCTCCTGCCTCTCCGGGTGAAAGACTTTCTTCTCTCCCATCAGGTTGACCCAGACCCAGTGCCCACCCCCTATAGTAACTCATCTCGATTTGACTGCAACTCCGTCTCCACAGCTGTGAGTACCTAGCTGGTGTTCCTCCGACCCCTCCCACCCCCAACCCCTTCAGCTCTCAGCTTGGACTGTCCTGATTATAATAATTAAGACCGCCATTCACTGAGCCCTTTCTGTATGTGGCATATATTGGCTGGTTTAATTCACACGCCAGTGCTGTGAGCTAGGTACTATAGTCATCCCCAATTTCCAGATAAGGAAATTGACGCTCAGAGAATGGGAATGCCTTGTCACACAGCTCAGGAGTGGCAGAGCTGGGACTTGAGCCCAGATCTGACTTCAGAGCCTATCTCCGTAGCCGGGTCTCATGGGCTGGTTTCTAGCTTTCTTTGGCCTCTTGGTTCAGAGGTTTTTCCCAGGAAGGGCTGGGGTCTCACTCTGATCTCCTCTCCCAGGCAGTGCTCCTGGCAGACATCCTCCCCACACTTGTCATCAAATTACTGGCTCCCCTTGGCCTTCATCTGCTGCCCTACAGGTCTGGGTGGGCGTGGCAGGAGGAAGGGCAGGTGGGATCTTAGAGTGGGGGGGACCAGGAGGGCAGAGGTGGTGGGGGGAGGGCTGGGAGCTGAGAGCAGAACCTGACCTCCCCGCTTCTCTCCCCTATCTCCTCAGCCCCCGGGTTCTCGTCAGTGGGGCCTGTGCGGCTGGAAGCTTCATCCTGGTTGCCTTTTCTCAGTCAGTGGGGACCAGCCTGTGTGGTGAGCGTGAGGTTTTGTGTCAGGTGCGGGGGGCTCAGAGGACCTGCAACAGAACATTAGTGGGGGCAGCCTCCCCATTTCCCCGGAGGAAGGAGGTTCTTTTTGTAACCCCCAGAAGCTTCTAGGACTGCACAAGTAGGAAATGGGAGATGAGGTCAATTTGGAGGGGTAGGTGGTGGGTGAGGTGGAAGGAAATGGATGGGTTAGATGGAGACTGAGATGGGCAGAGAAACCATGACTCCTGTGACACGGGTGGAGGAGGCGTCCAGGATGAGTTCTTGCCTCTGGTCTGGTAAGAGGGTGGATGAAATTACCACTCCCTGTGAGAGGGCCTGCAGAGGAGGGGTCGGTTCTGCTGCAGACCTGGAGCCCCCCACCCGACCACAGATCCTTTTCCAGCCCCTCTGAGCTGAGCTAACACAGAAGAGGCCGTGACCAGACACCTTAGGGGATGGGGCTGCTGGGGAAAAGGTAGGTTGGGCCACCGTCGTGCTTGTCCTCCCCCAGGTGTGGTCTTGGCTAGCATCTCCTCGGGTCTGGGGGAGGTCACCTTCCTCTCATTGACCGCCTTCTACCCCAGGTAAGTGAACAGAACAGGGAGTAGGGAGAGGAGTCCCCTGCTGGCTTCGGTCCTTCTGAGCGCCTGTGTCGTCCCTCTCAGGGCTGTGATCTCCTGGTGGTCCTCAGGTACGGGTGGGGCAGGGCTGCTGGGAGCCCTGTCCTACCTGGGCCTCACCCAGGCAGGCCTGTCCCCCCAGCACACCCTGCTGTCCATGCTGGGCATCCCCGCCCTGCTGCTGTGCAGGTAAGTTGCCCGGGGCGAGAGGAAGAGGGATTCGAAGAGGGAGAACTAGATTGTGATCCCGGTCTTCAGATTCCCGACAGTTACGAGGGTTGGAGGTTCTGGGCTCTGAAAGGCCTGGGGCTGCTGTTTTTTAGCTGTGTGGCATCACCTCTCTGAGCCCCTGTTTTCCCACATCTCACATGGTGGTCATTCTCCTTGTGAGGGTATAGGTGTGATGTATCCAGTGCAGTGTGGTTCCCACAGTGATTTGAGGGGTCTAGGGGTGGACTTTATCGATTTTATGTACATGAGGAAAAGGGTTTAACGAGCCCCTCACACCTGTGGCTTCACAGATTATTGCTTACAGCAAGGCCACGTAGAAAAAGGGAATCGATTTACAGGAAAATATTGAGTAAAAAACATTGTACACCAGAAGGATGTACATATGACAAACAGCATGAAGGCAAAACACAAGTGGTTGAAATTTGGGGAGTTCTGGCCTGGCACGGAATGCACACCTAATAAATGGTAGCTAGAGCAATCCTTAGAATAATAATGTCGAGAAAACAGCTGACTGGCTTGATGCGAGCTAGGCATCAAAGCAGGGGCCCGTAGACAGAAGCAATAAGGAGACAAATTTCAGCTCCAGAGAAGGGACCATTTTCCACAGCTCTCTGGAGGCAGGCGGTGCCTGAGAAGGTAGAAACACGGCGCAGCCTTGGCCACCTGACAGGCTGTGACCTCATCTTCCTTCTCCCTACTCCTAGCTATTTTTTTTTGCTCACGTCTTCTGAGCCCCAGGACCCTGGAGGGGAAGAAGAGGCAGAGAGGGCAGCTCGGCAGCCCCTGATGAGCAACGAGGCCCCAGAGGAGTCAAAGCCAGGTGGGTCCTCCAGGCAGGCGGTGTCTGTGTCTGTCTCTCTCTGTCTCTCTCTGTCTATCTCTCTCTCTCTCTCTCTCTCTCTCTCTCTCTCTCTCTCTCTCTCTCTCTCTCTGCTTTAGTCTTTTCCTCTCTAACGGACAGTTGGGAGGGGAAGTGGGTGTGTGTGCTGGTTACGGGAAGAGCCAATTGCATTCATCTATCCAAGAAATACTCATTGAGTTCCTATTATGTGCCAGGCATCCAATTGGGGTGCAGTGGTGAGCGAGGTAAGGAAGGGAGGCAGGCTCGTAAACAAATCACTGATTTTGGAGCCGTGCTTTTCACATCCTGATAAGCACTGGAAGCTCCTAAAATAGGGATGTGCTAGGAAATGACAGCGGAGCGGAAGTGGAGAGGAGAAGGTGGTCAGAGAAGGCCTTTTTGAGGAGGTGTCATTGGGCTGAAATTCGAATGACAGGGAGTCCTCCCTGTGGACACAGGGGTACCAGGCAGAGGGGACAGAATGCTGAGGGCCTGGATGGTACAAGCCTGGATGAGTGTTCAAGAAACCGGAAGACAGGGCCAGTGTGGCAGGGGTGGAGACATACAGCTGTCCAGCTATATGGGAGCTGTGAAGAGGTCTCACCTGGCTACCCCCTTTTTTTTTTTTTTAAACCATGGTGAAATATACATAACATGAAGTTTGCCAACAGAACCGTTTTAATCATACAGTCCAGTGCATTGACACTGTGTGCCGGCTGGCTGGTTCTGTCCCACCAGCACCCGTCTGCTGAGCCAACATGCCAGCCTCACCTGCCCTTCTCTCCCTGCCCTTCTGCAGATGCCAGCTCAAGCCTCTCCTTTCAGGAAAGGTGGACTGTGTTCAAGGTATGGAGGGTGGCGGTGGCCTGGCCCCATCTGCAGCCTGTGCCCACCTCCCAGCCTTGCACTGTGTCCTCTGATTCTCTAGGGCCTGCTGTGGTACATCATCCCCTTGGTCCTGGTCTACTTTGCTGAGTATTTCATCAACCAGGGACTTGTGAGTGAGGGCTGCAGAGCGGGGTGGGGGAGTCGAGGCCGAGGCAGGGGTTCACATGTCCCCGTCTGTCTCCCCTGTCCGGTCCCGGCTGCAGTTTGAGCTCCTCTTCTTCCGGAACACGTCGCTGAGTCACGCTCAGCAGTACCGCTGGTGAGAACGGCGAGGGCGGGTGGCAGGATGGGCAGCCTGCTGGGGGGGGGGGGCTTGATGACGGGGCCTGGGATTGGAGGGGCTGTCCTGTGAGGGGGCCATGGAAGGGATCCCTCTGACCCCTGCCCCTGTCTCAGGTACCAGATGCTATACCAGGCCGGTGTCTTTGTCTCCCGCTCTTCTCTTCGCTGCTGTCGTATCCGCTTTACATGGGCCCTGGCCTTGTTGCAGGTACCGAGCGCCCGACCCTCACTCCATTCCTGCCCTGGCTCCCAGAGTCTCTCCCTCAGCAGGAAGCGTTTATTGCTTGCTGTCATGTTCACAGGGAACGGAAGGCCAGCAGGGCTCACATCTGGTGTGTCCTTGGGAGCCAGGCAAACCTGGCTGTGAACCCCAACTTCTGTACTCAGTAGCCGTGTGATGTAGGGCAGGCGTCTGAACCAGTCTGAGCCTCGGTTTGCTCATCTATAAATCGGGCACGGCCCATGTCTACTTCTCAGGAGAGTTGTAAGAAAGAGAGATGAGAAGAATGAAAGAACGAGATTTTGTAGTGTGTTTTCATCAGAATCACTTATTTAACGATTATTTGCACAAGCCTCATGCAGAGACACAGGCTTTCAAATAACATTTCTAACAATAAGAAAATGTACACTTTCTTTTACTCAGCATGGTTAATTATAGAATCAGTGACATTGTGCTCAACAGATTATATATCTCAAGGTGGGTGACCATAGTCAACTGCCCATGGCAAAAGTAATCTATAGCTTTAAGAGAACAAACGGCATCCCTACAACAGTCTAAGCAAAGTACGTGTAGCTAAGCAGCATTCATTGTTTCTACAGCCCGAAGTAACTATTAAGATAAGCTTTCAACCATTATAGGAAAGTCCTTGCCCCCCCCCACCCCCCACCCCCGCTTTTTTTTTGTCGTCCTTGTGCAGGGGCCATGCTAATCTTCTCTGTATCGTTCCAATTTTAGTATATGTGCTGCCGAAGCGAGCACCCTTTCCCCTTTTTAATAAGCTTAAATCTATGACAAGACTTAGAATACGTATAGATAACACTTTAATGTTATGGCAACAGCATACAAATATCTGCTGATTTTCTTCTTTATTTCTTTAAGCAATACTGCCACCCCAAAGTCCCAAAGTGTTGTGTCAATAATTCTTAGGGTTCTTCATGAGATGTTGCTGAAATGTAGCTTTTGGTTTTAGCTGTCATTTTAGCCAACGCTGCTTCATAGAAATCAGGGATTGTAACCACTTAATTCCATGATAAACGCATCTAGTCTAAGGCAGCAGATGAAGTGTCGGCCGGGTTTGGTCACATTGGCATTACCAGGGTGTATGCTTTTAGTGCAGATCTCTGAGCCCCACTCAGACTGAGTTAGAAGCTCTGAGGGTAAGGCCTGTGTGGTAAGAGGGTCCTCAGATGGTCCTCATGCTTGCCAAGCATGCAAACCACAGGGATCCTCTGAGGAACTAGGGTACAGAGGGGGGACCTATATATACCCTTGGGTGAGCTCAGAGAGGCTTCCTAAGAGGTGGGAGCATCTAAACCAGAGTTTCTCAGCCTCAGCACTGTTGACATCTGGGGCAGATCATTTTTTGTTGGGGGCCATCCTGGGCTTTGGGACGTGTAGCAGCACCCGTGGCCCCCACCCACTAGATGCCAGTAGCACCCTCCGTCCCCAGTTGAGACAACCAGGAACATCTCCAGACATTGTCAGATGTCCTGTTGGCAGCACAATCAAGCCCAGCTGAGAACCGCTAGCCTGTTTCCTCAGCGTGGAAAATGGGGTGCGGGGCACAATTTAGGGAGCCCGTTGGGAGGAGCATGAGATCACGGGTGTGAGTGACCCTGATCCAAGCAGAACTGTGAACTGGGGTGACTAGGACATCCCAAGTGAGGGAAGGTGGAATGGCACCTGGCGATAGGAGTGACCAGAGCCAAGGGGGAGGGGGAGAGACCCACAGGTCTGGGGTGCTGGGACAGGGGAGGGAGGAGGCGGGTCCCACATCCCAGGGTCTGTCCGCCTGCAGAGAGTTGGGATTTTATCTGGGCCTGCCAGCCCTCCCTCATCAGCATCTCCCAGAACCAGGGCCACCAGGACAGGATGGCAGCCTCGCTTCCTGCCCACTGCCTGCCCCAGGCTCAGCCCTCCTCTCCACCTGAACCCGTAGTGCCTCAACCTGGCCTTCCTGCTGGCGGATGTGTGGCTCAGCTTCCTGCCCAGCATCTACCTCGTCTTCCTGATCATTCTGTATGAGGGACTTCTGGGGGGTGCTGCCTACGTGAACACCTTCCACAACATTGCCCTGGAGGTCAGCACCAGCTGGGGATGGAGGGGGGTGTGTTTTGGGGGGAGGGTTGTGGGTGGCCCCTTTGGGATGTGGAGGACAGAAGCCTCACCCCTGCTCCCCACCCGCTCCCAGACCAGTGACGAGCATCGAGAATTTGCCATGGCAGCTGCCTGCATCTCTGACACCTTGGGAATCTCCCTGTCAGGGCTCGTGGCCCTGCCTCTGCACAACTTACTCTGCAACCTCTCCTGACACTGGGCTTCTTGGGACGCAGGACACACCGACGGGGGCCCACACTGACTGGAAGGAAGGTCAGAGCCCCGCCCACAGCCCAGAGCCTGTCCATGAACTCCGCCCTCGGACTTCCTGCATGGCCAGGGGCTGGACTGTAGAGAAGTGCTGCAGCTTTCACTCACTGACCTCAGGCAGTTTCTTCTTGGCATTCTGCCCTCAGAATAAAGGCCTATTTTTATCAATTGACTGGTGCCATTTTTCTCCTTGAAAAAAGTTTTCTTATAAAACTACAAGCCCACTTTGGAAATATACAAGAGAGTAAAGAAAGCATTTCAGACTTATTCATTCATTCATTCATTCATTCATTCATTCATTCATTCACTGGATGAGGCAATCTGTGTACATTTTCCTCCACCATGTAAGTTCCAAACATGCAGAGAAGGTGGAAAACTTCGTGCAGTGAGCACTCGTGTCCATGTCGTCTGGGTTATGCAATGGCCATGGAGGAGCTATAGCCGCTCCGTCTCGGACCCAGCCCTCCATCAGTCCATCCTACTATTGTGGTGCCTTCAAAGTTGGAGGCTGACTTGGACGCACTTCCCTCTACGTGCTTCAGCGTGTACGTTATTAACTGAAATCCAGTTTCTGTACAGTCCTTTCTAGGTACAATTTACATACAGTAAAATGTACAAAGTGTTAGGTATTTTTTAAGTAACTGAAGTGGGCTTAGTGTTTCCCATGCTTCACTGTTACCATCTCTACCATATTTGCTACATCTATGCACAAAAACACCTGTATTTACTATTTTTCACTTAAAGTGACTATATATTTAGTTATTTTAAAGGGAAACAATGTTGCTATTGAAATCATGAGTTTGAAATGCTAGTTATATGCTTTTTTCTACGACACATGAGATACAGAACTCTTGGTGTTTAAAATGAACCCCCAGCGCCTGCCCCGTGAGACTAATTTGTGCCCCCACCCACCCCTGCTTGGGGAAACGCGGACATGACGGTTGACAGCATGGGGTTTGGAGGCAGAGAAACCTGACTTTTGGGTCCCAGCTCTGCCCTTCACTAGCTCCATGATTTTGGGCCAGTGTCTCCATTGCTCTACACCTCAGTTGTCCCCACCTGTCAAATGGGGATAACAATAGTACCAACACATCCTAAGGTGGTTGTGGAAATTACATGAGACCACGGGAAAGTGTAGTCAATGTTAGCTTCATAAATGTTAGCGTTGATCATGCTACTGTTTGAATCCACCTCTACCTGTTACACTGTATCATGCAGTGGTTCTCTCTAGGTGTGCACCAGAGGAATTGTTAAAATACAGATTGCCACCTTCAGGGTCCGGGGCTGAGGGAATGTATGTGACACATTTCTGTCACATACCCAGGGCACGCTGCTCTGTTGCTCCTCCAGGGCCACACTTTTGAGAACCACTGACGGATGCTTGTCCTTTAAAAAAATTCGAAATGGGGCGTCGGATTGGGGGAGGGAGGTTGTCACTTCGAGGGGTAAAAAGTATAACTATTGCACTGTGTTGTACAGCTGAAACATTCTAAAAAATGTGTATTTCATAATAAAAAAAATTAAAAAATTCTCTATAAGCCCCTCCCCCCCTTTTTTTTTCAGTTCAACAAACTTATGAGTATGTTCTTCAGGCCAGGAATATTTTTTGCTGTGGATACAAAAATGGGTTTTTGCGTGATATCTTCAAGGCTCATTCATGTATCAGCACTTCATTCATTTTTACAGTTGACTATCATTCCGTTGCATTAATATATGACATTTTGTTTCTCCTTTCATCAGTTGATGAACATTCGGGTTCTTTCCATTTATTGGCTCTTATGAAGAATGCTGTTATAAATGTTTGTGTCGAGTTTTTGTGTGGACATAATGTTTTCATTTCTCTTGGGTTAATACCTAGGAGTACAATTGCTGGGTCATTTTGGTATTCTGTTTAATCGTTTGAGGACCCTCCAGGTTGTTTTCCAAAGTGGCTGTACCATTTTACATTCCATCAGCATGTGTGAGGGATCTAGTTCTCCACACCTTCACCAATACTTGCTATTTTCCTTTTTGATTTGATTTTGTTTTGTTTTATTGTAGCCATCTAGTGGATATAAAGTGGTATTTCATTGTGATTTTGATTTGCAGTTCTTTGATGGCTAATGATTTTGAACATCTTTTCATGTGCTTGTTGGCCATTTGTATAATTTCTTTGGAGAGAAATGTCTATTCAGATCCTTAGCTCATGTTTAAATTAGATTATTTGCTTTTTTGTTTTTTGAGTTGTAAGAGTTCTTTATAGGTTCTAGATAAAGTTTCTTATCAGATACATGATTTTCAAATATTTTCTCCCACTCTGTGTTTTCTTTTTACTTTCTTGATGGTGTCATTTGATGCCCAAAAGTTTTTAATTTTGGTGAAGTCCGATGTATCTATTTTTTTCTTTGGTTGCTTGTGCTTTTGGTGACATAGCTAAGAAACAATGGCCAAATTCAAGGTCATGAAGAATTACTCCTATGTTTTCTTCTAAGAGTTAATAGTTCTTACATGTAGGTGTTTGGTCCATTTTGAGTTATTTATTTTTTAATTGGGGAATTGGGGAGGGGAACAGCATTGGGGAATTGGGGAAGTGAACAGACGAGTTGCTGTCCTTTTTTTGTTGTTGTTCTTCAGTCTAGTTGTAGAGGACATCGCTTCACTGGCCCATCATTGTGCTCTTCCCAGGTGAGGCAAGTCGCTCATTGGCCATTGGATGGCTGCTCACGGCAACTCATGAAAGCACATGCCAGCTGCTGGCCCGCCCCGCTGCAGCCTATGCCGTTGCCAGCGACTCACGGCAGCCCAGCTCTAGGTCAAGCTGTTGTTCACCATCTTAGCTGGAGAGGTCGCAGTGTCACTGGTCCTCCTGTGGGATCCAACCCAGGGCCCTGCTGCTCAAAGCTGGTGTCCCAAACCAACTTTTAACCAACGTGCCACTCGGCCGGCCCTTGAGTAATTTTTTATATGTGGTGTGAGGTAGGGGTCTGTGAGATAGATTAACATCACAGGCTCAAACTACTAACCTTGTAAAAGGCCTGCTTGCAAAAATGGCCCTTGGCTGGAGGTTAGTAACTTAGATTTCAGGAGGTTTCCCACCATTAACTGATAAAAGTGGCTTACACTGCCTAAACTGTTTGTACAAATGAAATGGCTTATGTGGAACACCTGCTTTCCTTCTGAGGTCTGGAATTTTTCGGTACTTGCTAAGCAGAGTGCCTGTGTGATCAACCCCAGTAAGATTCCTGGTACTGGGGGCGACCAGTTAGCTCAGTTGGTTGGAGTGTGGTGCTGATAACACCAAGGTTTCTGGTTTGATCCCCACTCGGGCCACTGTGAGCTGCGCCCTCCCTGAGAGTCAACTATGTCATTGTAGCAGGAAAGCAATGTGTAACCAATGACCATAGCTATTCCCCAATAAAAAAAAATTAAAAATGAAAAAAAAAATCCTGGCCCTATGTCTCTAATGAGTTTCCCTAGGGGGACAACATTTCATACGTGTTGTTCCAACTCATCGATGGGTGAATTAAGTACATCCTATGTAACCCCACTGGGAGGGGACCCTTGGAAGGTTGTTCCTGGTTTCCTCCAGATTTCACCCCATGTGCCTTCTTTTTCTCTTCACTTATTTTTCTTTGCTTTCTTTCACTGTAATAAGTCATGTCTATGAATATGACTATGCTGAATTCTGTGTGTCTTCCTAGCAAAGCATTGAAACAGATGTGGTCTTAGAGACCCCCCACCACAGGGTCCAACTCCATTGTTTTGCCTGTGGATATCCGGTTGTCCTAGCATCATTTGTTGAAAAGACTGTTCCCTATTGGATTGTTCTGGTACCTTATTGAAAATCGGTTGACTGTAAATGTGGGGGCTTATTTCTAGACTTTCATTTTGATTCTATTGATCGATATGTTTATCTTTATGCCGGTAAACCACTGTCTTGATGACTGTAGCTTTGCAGTAAGTGTTTGAAACTGGGAAGTGTGACTCCTCCAACTTTGTTCTTCTTTTTCAAGGTGGTTTTATGAATTTTAAGATGAGCTTGTCAATTTCTGCAAAGGAGCCAGTTGTGATTTTGATGGGGGTTGCATTGAACCTGTAAGTCAATTTACAGAGTGTTGCTATTTTTTTTTTTTTTTTAGCTGAGCCATCCTGCTACCTGTTGGCAGCTCAGCGGCTGCTCAGCTCGGGCTGGACTCGAACTGCTGTTGCTCAGAGC